ACCTACAAAATTGCTTTTCTTTCATGTCTTTTTGTCCAACGCAGGTTGTAAAGTTTTGGTCGAGTTTCTGTGTAAATAAAGCGACTCATGATTTTCACACGTTGTCAACAAAATAAACAGCTCACGTTTTTTAACATAAAAGTACGTTACGAAAAAGTGCCTAATGACAGTAGACTTAGCATTGATAAGAGCTGTCTGGATAAAAATTCTTTAATGGAAAAAGTGACGAAAATCCCTCCATTACGAACACAACCTCCATTACTACATCGCGACGTCTCCACAAGTTTACAAAACCATCGCAAAATTACATCACGAAAAACAAACAAACAACAACACGAAGCGTATATACAAGAGCTAAATAAGTGTTTATCGGCTCTGAGTCAGTGGCTGTCAGCACGAGATATATAATTCACTTTTCAGTTAAACATAGCAACATAATTACATAAATGAAAAAACGAACTACACTCACCCACCACTTTTATTTTAACTTCGTCGTTACCCGGCATTCCGTCGATCCGATCTTCAGGTTCTAGGTAGCAAAAATATGTTCCAGCATCGCTCATCGTGAGTTTTCTGATCTTAAAACTCGCTGTCTCGTTTTTCAACACACTCACTCGACCATCAAAGGGAGCTGTGACTTCTCGATCGCTTTTCTTATTGAAGGTGACAACTCTTGTCAACACATCTTTCCTGATAATGACAACATCTGTAACACTTTCGTTCGCGCGGACCTTGATCCCGAATTTTATGAATCGTATCTTGTTTGAAGGATGGGTTGAATACTCCCACCGAAGAATTGCATCACTGCCGACGAAATGTTCAGAATCTTTTGGGCTTGTGGTCCAATTCACAGCGTCGCTTGCCACAGAAACTGCGATGAAAGTACACAGAAAAAACTTATCACTAAGGTTCATCAAGGCGACTTCAAACAGGCACGTGCAGAAAACAAGTAGGCCGCTTCAAAGAGAAAATTACTTACCTTTGATAAAACTTAACAAAAATATTAACACGTGCATAAAAGGGAGGAGTTGGGTCGCCATATTTTCGACTTTTGCAGATTACGGTAACGAATGTCAGTTTATCTCTGAAACGGTAAGCAGAAGTCGCCTGTCACAAAATACTCACTTGCCGCAACATTATGACGAACCGAGTGAGGCGCGCTGATTGGTCGAACCAGGGCACGTGACGTGTTTTTAAAACGCCTCATTTCGAAATAAGTGTCAGCTATTGTAGTCTACGATTCACCGTTTTATTCGAATCGGAGAAAACGCTTCAAGAATCTAAAAAATCCTCGAATAAAATTTCAAAAGAGCAATGCTTCCATTTTGCCTGTCATGGTGTAGCCATATATTCGTTCTAGGAGGTTTAACTAAGTTTTTTTTTTTTTTTTGAATTAAAATTGACTCTTATTCCGCTTTTGAACGCAGGTGTGTAGTGAAAAATCTCGAGAAAAGTCGAGATCAGCTCTGCCATTTGATCCTTTAGTTAACTATGTAGAAGGTCATAAGAATCAGGGTATAAAATGACCAGAAAACAGACTGGCTATTAAAATCGAACATGGTACCACGAACATGTGGATTGGCAAAAATTTGTTTTCTCTTAAAGGTTTGTTAAAAGTTCTTTTCAAGCTGCCTACAGTATGTAAATGCTCAACTGCAAAACTCCAACGCAAATTAGTGTTAGCGGTAGGAAAGATGAGAAGGTGAGATATCTATATAATCAGGAGCCATAATCGGGGACGGATGGCTCCTGATATAATCCTATTTACATTTGTATGGCACGAAACACTTCTCTGAAAAGAAAAGGAAATTTAACGCGAAAAGTAAACATCATCCCAAACATCTGTTTTTGCTAAATGGGATGTTTCGGCGGGAAAATATTGGCGCGGCACGCGGTTTCTCGGCAGGTGTTACGCCACAGTGTCACTTTATTATGAATCTTTGCCTATCTTTTTGTTTTGTCTTGAACTAATATGTTTTGCCCTTAAAAGGACCTCTGAATCTAAGAGTGTAACTAGAAATGTTTGAAATGAATTTAGAAAGTTCTAATGAGTGATCAATGCTTGTCTGATATGCCATCTGACGGTGACTGAATTTTCGATGAATGAATATGATAAAGTTTGTTGCACTTGGTACTGGCGGAGGTGGGGCGGGGAGCGAGGTGGGTTGGTACTAGTGTATTGAACACTAGCTGCGGTTGAACCTTATTCCGTCAGGGATTTTTGACCGGAGGGTGTTCGTTTGAAGTAT